GGAGGGACCGGGAGGGCAGGTGCTTTGGGGGGTGGGCAGAGGGGGTGGAGGTGAGAGGAGGAGGAGAGTTCAGGATGTAGGAAAGGTGAGTTGTCGGGACTCATCCAGAACGTGTTCCCCTTCTCCAGAGACCGGGCAGAAACCCGTGTGCATTTCGGGGTTGGGGGGGAGAGAAAAGGCAAAGGGTTTTGCGCCCCCAGGCTGTGATGATGGGTGCCACGGAGTCATTGGGAGCTGAGAAACGGTCCTCTGGTTTGAGACTACAAATCCCAGAATCCCCCAGTACACAGGAGGTGGATAGGCAAGGAAGACCCTTAACCCTGGCTCCCCCCCTTAAAAAAATTCCCAATGTATTTATGATTTGAATATGCACAGACTCCCAGTATTGTCCAGGTGCTCCCTCTGCAGCTTCACCCGACCCTCTTCACCCAGGTAAATTCCTGCAGTACCCCTTGCCACTGGCCATGCAGGCTACAGTTTATGGGAGCTGGAATCCAGAGAGACACTTTCTTCATCATCACAGGAGCCACAGACTCATCAAGCCAGACTTCCCCCCCTGTTCACACAAAGTAGTAGAAGCCTCTTTTCTCCTTATATTCTTCCCCTATGTGACTGTGGGCCTTCTTGACTCTTTTCCCTCGCTCCCTCTTCACCTTCCTTTTCTTTTCCTCTCTTCATCCTTCTCTCTCTCTGTTTCCTCTCTCTTGTCCCTGCCCCACCACTTGCGTCTTTCTCTTCCTCCTATTACTTGCCCCTCCATCCTACTCACTCCCCTTTCTCCTTATCACCACAATATCTTCCTCTCCTTTTATCTTCCTCTCTTTTGCTTTGCTGCGTGTCTCGCTCTCTTTCTTTTCCCTTGTGGCCCCTTTCTTTTCCTTCTCACCTTTTCCCTCTCCCTTTTCTCTCCTTCTTCTCCCTGTCTCTCTCACCTTTTCCCTCTCCCTTTTCTCTCCTTCTCCCTGTCTTTCTCTTCCTTCTCCCTCCTCCCCTTTCCCTGACATGATGAGTCACACAAGTCGGCAATGCTCTTCATTGTCTTCTTCAGTCATGACCTGCGTGGCAAAAGCGAATGACCAGGGTGCCTCGCCCCACATCGGAGACTGTTAATATTCTACTGGCAGCATCAGTTATTGAAGCCCTTTGCTATATTTAGCAGCCAGCAGTGGACATCCATCAGCCCTTCTGAATGACATGGTGAGATGATCAAGCATTTATTCTTTTTTGGCGTGAACGCATGAATGAACGCTCAGCTTAGAGTTGCACAACCTTTGTCGAAAAAGGGAAAGCACTGACTTATTGCACTCTTTAAAGAACTGTTTTGTCCTAGGGAGGCCCTTTCGAAACAAGGGTCATAGGGTGGGAGCAAGGAGACTTTTTGATTAGCAGGCATCGTGACGTCATCGGATGCACACCCCCTCCAACTTCACTGACCCTGCTGCTGCCTTCATCCCCCACTGTTGTTTTTACGGTATGTTGTTGGGAGACAGGTAAAGGTTCCCCTTGACATTTTGTCCAGTCGTGTCCAACTCTAGTGCTCATTGCCGTCTCCAAGCCATTTTTATTTATTTATTGGATTTCTATCTCACCCATCTAGACCAAAGCCATAGAGCCAGAGCTTGTCTGAAGACAGTTTCCGTGGTCACGTGGCCAGCGTGACTAGGGAACGCCGTTTTACCTTCCCACCGAGGTGGTACCTATTTATTAACTTGCATTTGCATGCTTTCAAACCACTAGGTTGGCAGGAGCTGGGACAAGCGATTGGAGCTCACTCCATCGCGTGGATTCGATCTCGCGACAGCTGCTCTTCCGACCCTGCAGCCCAGAGGCTTCTGCGATTTAACCTGCAGCGCCACCACATGTTGGAAGGTAACCCAGTGCAAAGTCTGGCTCTGAATGGGCTACAAGATCCATTCACTTTAGCAAAATACCTGCTCCTCGTGAAGATGAAAATGGCTATAACCGAACTGCTGATATGGGCCCGCAGATTTACTCGCATTTCGAGGTTTGGTTGGGAGTGTGACCTTTTTAATGTCCCATATTTGTTCCTGGGGAATATGTTTTCTCTATGCTTTTTCTCTCTCCCACATCCCTTCCCTCCCTCCCTCCCTCCATGTCAACAATCCTCACATCAAAGCTACATCCGTTGGGTGACCTGGTCCCTGCACCCTTGTGGATGATCATCTGACTGGGTGACCATCTGCTTCCTAGTGTTTCCATCCTGCCACATCCGCTAGGTTTATATTTCCCCAATCGTTCTGCCACGTGAGTTATTCCTGAAATGGTTTGCTTTGAAATCAGCTTTCCAAAACACAGCCTTCTGGAGTCCAGGCTTCAAACGGGGTTTTCGTGCTGAGATCCTGTTTTTGGTATCATTAGGGGGCGCAGCAAAGCCCACCCGAAACATTTTGCTGCCTGAGGTCACCAATATATTTGCCCCATTCCTAGTTCTGCCCATCAAGGCTAGTTAGATGGGCGGCAGTAAGATTTTACCTCAACATGATGAGGCAAACAGCTGTAGCTGAAGAAAACATAATTTAGCAATTGGGTGGGTGGGGGATCTAAGTAAGACATACTCCCGTCTTTTACCACCTCCCTGCTTTTCAACATCTGTCATTTGAAACAGATCTGCTGCCTAATGGTTTGGCCGGCACTTCTAGAAAAAACGGATTTATCTCTTGAGAAAGATAACAAGAGATAGTGTGGTATGTTGGATAAAGTGTCAGGCAAGGACTTGGGAGATGCGAGTTCAAATCTCTACTCACCCATGGAAATTCACTGGTGTGGCTGCAATGTTAAATCGCTTCTTGAATATTTTAGAGCCCTCCCGTTGAGGCTTATTATATGTTACAAAAGACTTGATGGCACATGAAATGACTGTAATATATTATGCATTGTGGACCACCTGACGGGCAAGGCCAGGTGCCCCTGAGCATGGTCAGAGTGAAATCACCTCATTGGTGTATAATCACCAGGCTTCCAGTTATGACTGAACCATAGCTCCTTTCTACAGAGCGCTGGTAATGTCCCTTGTCTAGTGTGTGAGCAGGCCCTTGAATCCATCCAGTATATCATTAATAGATGGCAATTTGCCATCACGATTGAGTTCCATTACAGAAGGGTAAATTGCTAGTGCAATTCTGGCCACTGGGTTCAAGCACCCAGCCATCTGGCTTGGGCCGAAGCTATCCCAAGAACCGTGTCTCCCTTTAAGAGCCTGTTGCACTTGGCGAGTACACGGGAGAGAGAGACCTTCTTTGTGGCTGCTCCCAGACTTTGGAACTCCCTGCCACTGGAGGCCAGCTTGGCCCCCATCTTTGCTGTCCTTGTGCAAGCAGGCAAAGGCCTTTCTCTTCAGGCTGTGAGGGGCTGTCAGAGAGAGTTTTAAAAATATTATTATGCTCTGTGCTTTTAAATGTGTTTTTAGTATTGATTTTATTTCCTGTTTTTAATATAAGAATTCTTTTTTTAAATATTTGTATCCTTTTTTTGTTTTTTAGCTTTTCAAATATTGTCTTTTTGAGGATGTGTTCCTGTTTTTAATATAAGAATTCTTTTTTAAATATTTGTATACTTTTTTGTTTTTAGCTTTTCAAATATTGTCTTTTTAAGTCTGTAAACCTTTTAGGGAGAAAGGTGGGGCAAAAATATTTTAAATAAATAAAAATACGTATATAAAAGTCTCTGAGTCCCGGCCTTGCTGTATTGCATTGCTTTGCAAACATTAGTGATTATTTCCAAATTTTCATTTGTCCACAGGTTCATACATGGACCTGTCCTAACATAAGGGGAAAAGTCATGCAGTAATAGCTATCATTTTGGCTGTAATTGCTGAATAAACTGGTAGGCTTTTGAGTTTGGGACAATTCAATCTACAATCCCACAGGTGGAATTTTGAGAACAACTCTTTCCTTGACTTTGGAGCCCTCATTTTGAAACCGGGGTAAATATCACCTCATGAGTTTTGGAACCCTTGAATGTTTACTGCCCGGTCCACAAGAAAATGTTGCCTACTCTGATGAAGGCCCGTATGGGCCAAAAGCTAGCCTTTGTCTTTGATTATCAGGAACACGGGACTCCTAGTCGTTTTGGACTTACGTCGCACCAGATATTCAGACTCAACTTGTGACTCAGAATCCACACACACCTTTCTTTTTTTCCTGGGGGAGGGAGAAAAGCTTGTTTTTAACAGGGACTCTGACTGGACTTTGGACACAAAGACTTGCCACCATCCCTAATGAGCATTTTTTGTGTGTGTGTGATAGAGATATCATCCTCTCCTTGCCTATGAGGTAGAAATATCATGAGTGGGTGGGGTGGGTTAATACTTTTTTCTTTTTGTGTGTGTTGTGACACCCCTGTCCCACAGCAGACTGATGGAGAAAGCCATTTCCCGCCATTTCCCCTCAAAAACACTTCCTTTCGTCAAGAGGACATCAGCTTCCTGACAGCCTTCAAACAGTTCAATTAGTGGGGGGGGGGAGAGGTTGACAACTTCCATAATCTCCCAAGAAACATGATCATAGGGATTCTGGGATTTGTGGTTGGAAATGGTGAGATTTAGAAATTGTGCCCTCACTTTCCACACAGAGAGGGGTAACTTCCAAGCGAAGGACGAGTGCCCCCACGTTTCTACTGTTAGGCTACCTTGTCAGGCTGGCATAACGGATGCTAAACAGAGACATAGGGACATGATGGCGCTGTGGGTTAAACCGCAGAAGCCTCTGTGCTGCAAGGCCAGAAGACCTGCAGTCGTAAGATCGAATCCACGCGACGGAGGGAGCCCCCGTCGCTTGTCCCAACTGCCGCCAACCT